AATCTTGTGCGAGAATATAACAAACCCCAAACCGGAAACAGCGCAAATGTTCACTGACAGGTGAACCTTTAACAAACTGGTGGATCCACACAATGGACACCGCTAGGGAAAGGAAATCGCAGCTGATTCACGGAGCTTGGAGGCATCTCAGAAGACGCTCTGCTGCCGAGTATCCAGTGGAGGTCCTGAGTGTCTCCATTTCTAGAGAGTTCTAAGTCAGGCTCAGCCATGCACAGTGATGAGGTGAGCGCCTCCTCGGCCAAGGTTGGGACAGGCTGCTAGAGGGTACCGGGAAGTCTGTGGGGGGCGGGAGGGTGGAAGGGTGTCTATATCTTCCTTGGAGTAGGAGTTATGTAGCTGGGTCCCCTTGTCAAAAGCCACCAAACTGACTGGCTAAAATGGGCACACTCATTTTATCAATTAGGGTTGGCCATTTATATCTGGGGGTTTCACATCTGCAGATTCAACCAACTGTGCATGGAAAATATTTGGAAAAAGACCCAATGAAAGGTAATAATGCAGCAGAAGGTCATATAAATAACAACACAGTCCGACGACTGTTTACACGGTATTTACCTCGTGTCAGGTGGCTGACATTAAAGTTCTCAGGCAGGCCTGCAGAGGTTACATGCAAGGGTCTTGAGCAGCTAAGAATGGTGGTATCCCCCGAGGACACTTAGGGGCAGCTATATGTTGTCAGCAACGTCAAGTTAAAAAGTAGAGACAAGACAACAGAAAACATGAAACCCCGGACCGCCGGGACCAGGAATCAGGCTCTTCATGACCTCCTTGTGCTGCCTGGCCCTTTCTGAGGTCAAGTCCGCTTTACGTACTGGGACCGCAGCTCCCAGAGGCCCATGAGTGTTTGAAGACAGCAGCACATTTACATAAGCGACAGTACATACACATGTATGTGTGTATATGTGTGCGTGTACACATGTATGTGTGTATATGTGTGTGTGCACATGTATGTGTGTATGTGTGCGTGTGCACATGTATGTGTGTATATGTGTGCGTGTACACATGTGTGTATATGTGTACGTGTATACATGTATGTGTGTATATGTGTGCGTGTATACATGTATGTGTGTACATGTGTGCGTGTGTGCGTGTATACATGTATGTGTGTATATGTGTGCGTGTGGTTGCTGTTAGAAGACTGTTGAGACTGGAATCCTTTCTGGTGTGTGAGGCCAATAGAGGAGGGCTTGTCTCATCGCGCAGCCCTGCTGTAGAATAGCCTTGGGCTCACCTGCTGCAGAGCCTGAGCAACTCCTGTCAGGCGAGTGAAGAGGGCCTGCCCTAGGAGGCTGCGGACACAGGCCCTGGCGCCTTCCTCAGTGCCGTCGGGAGTGCTGCCTGCGTGGTGTTCAGCTGGCTGACCTTCTCTGTGTGTTTCTTTTTTCCCACAATTTGTGCTCCCCTTTGTATCAGATTTCAGAATGCCAAGCTCGGGTAGAATACAAGCCTTTTTTGTTTCACGCTACTCACAGGGACTCCATGAATTAACTATGACCTTGTATATTTTCTGTTTTTCATTTCTCACCCAGGGTTACCTTCCTGCCAATGTAGATCGGAGACCAGCCACTCTCCAGAGAAAACAGAAAGAGTATTTTGCATTTATTGAACACTATTACCATTCGAGGAGCGACGATGTTCTCCCTTTCGTGTGTTACCTGAAGAACTTTGCTTCCGTGTGATTTATAGGAGGAAATGTTCTCATCAAAACCGTGTGGAGTTGGTCACAGTTAAAGCTGCAGGTCCCTGACCAGCTCACAGAGTTTTCTTTTCTAATAAATTGTGAAACAAATAATGGAAAATTCCTTCTAATGGTACTATCTTCCTTGTCTTCAGTTCTCTCTACAAAAGTAAAAAAGAGTATTTTAAATTGAGGTTGTAAAACAAATGCCTTGGATTCCTGCGACCTGCCTTAGGGCGATGGTGGGAGTCTGCATCATCGTGAGCTGCTATCTGGTAATGAAAGGCCACTCCTGAAGGCCCAGGCCCAGGCATTGAGCTGGATGGCATCAGGACAGAGAGGTTGCATGGGGGCCACTGGCGCCGGGTTCTTTGGCCCAGGAAGGGACATGATACTGACCCAGGAAAGTATGTTAATCAGCTTGGGTTTGTGGGGGACACACTTCAGACCATAGCAGAAGGTGCGGCCAAGTTACCATTTTGCTATTTAGTTTAATATAAAATGTGTCTAATTATGGTTTCTTAAATAGTCAGTTGACAGATGATGCACATAATGGGAAAATACTTAAGATTGATTTATGATTCACAGTACATCCAGAATTTGCTGTTAGAATAGCTCTTTGAGGACTGCATAATTCTCACTCTCTTTGTAATGTGTGAAGGGTCAGAATGGCAGTTCTTAATTGGTATTATTGTCTCCGATATCTGAAATCAGCTTCTGGGGTTCCCGAGGCATGGCAGGAATATCTCCCTGTGGAAACCCGACTTCTAGGTGAGGGAGCTTTGCACATTTTCCCCTCTCAGACTTGGGATATCCACATCTCTTTCTTTATCTGTTAAAAAAAAAGGTCCAAAGATGCGCCTTACCTCTGTTACGTAATCAAAGATTCTTTAAGTTAAATGCTTTCCTGGACAGCATCTCCCGAGACGGATGGGACACACGGCTGCAGGAGGAAAAGTGACTTGCTTAGGACTGAGACTGGGGCAATGGCCGCCTCCGTTTCCTTCCTGGCCGGAGCTCCCACTGGCCTGTGGTGCCTTCTCTCTGGCACCGGGGCTCCGGGGCCGCACTGGGCCACCACCCAGTTACTCTGGGAAGCCGACTTGATACACAGATTACTTTGGATTTGCTTCAGGAAATATTAGCTTACCTGGTCTCTTTTGCCACCGCACCGGTTTTAGGAAATTAATAAATTTGGCATTGTTTTGAGCGCGTTCTTTTAATGCATTTTAATTTCAGAAAACAAATTTCCAAAGGATGACACTAGCATCTGTCTGCGAGTTTTACCAAGCAGAATTCTGTTTCGAGTTTTTGAAGAGAAAGTTAATTACGAACAGGCTGCATACATCTTTATTTAGTTACTGTGATAGGTAATAAAAAGATTCCATACTGTTGTGAGTTCCCAAACTGTTTCTACATTAATATAGATGAGACACGTGTGTGGTGACGCAGTCGTTTTTCCTCCCTGCCTGATGCTTCGAGGCTTCTGGGAACTGCGCCTTCCTTCTCGCCGTTGCCATTTCAGGCAGAGCTGGGCCCGGCGGGGTTTGGGGACCCTGGTTTCTCCTTGCCATCCGGTTGGGCGTTGGACCCGTGGACTGAGCCTGACTGGCGGTCTGCCCCTGCACACCGGTGGAGGCAGTAGGAGGGGGTGGCTTCGGCAGGTTCCCCACCTGCTTTCCATCCTTCATCTGATTTGTATGTGCTCACTCTTCTGCTGAAGATGTGATGTGGAAGCCGCATCGAGAGCCATATGGAGTCAGAGTGAAATAGTGGTCTGGTCTGTCTTTTCCTCCCTCAGTCAACTCTGTCTTGGCCTTTTTCCTTTGTGCCCAGTTCTGTGTTTGATGGGGGGCAGGCGGGATGGATGGAGGGGTGCAGAGAGTCCCACCTGCCCAGCGGTGTGGAGGACCGTCTCTCTAATGTTGGAGCCTCTCCTGATGATGGGGGGTCTGCTGGATGCTGCCTCATCTCCTTAATAAATGTGCGACAGGATCTTTTATGTAAGGGGCTGTGCTGGTCCTGGGCATGTAGAGGTGGCTCAGACCTGGTTCCTGCCCTGCAGCAGCTTATGCTGCTCATGCTGGGGACAGGCGTGTGTCCACACAAGTGTAACTGTATGGGAACAGACAGCCCTCCAGGACACCCTGATGACAGACCTGGGCCCTTATCCCTGCTGGCACCTGGGCTCTTGCATGTGGCCAGCTGCAGTCCTTTGGCCCTGCCTCTCTGGATAGAGTAGTGCCACTTCTGTCTCCTCCTTGTCCCCCTCTTCCTCCTCCTGGTCCCCCTCTTCCTCCTCCCCCCGCTTCTCCCGCTCCTCTTCAGCAGCAGTGCTGCTGGCAGGCCTCCTTTGGCCCGCATCACAGATGCGTGTGCGTCTCAGCTCATTCCATTTGGCTGTTGACTCACAGCCTTACTTGATGTTTACCAGTAACCTTTTGAGATACTTGGAGTGGCCATTTTGTAGACAAGGAAACAGGCCTGGTCACAGTGTGGTAAGTGGCAGAGTGACGGTGTCCCAGCCTCCTGGGTGTGAGGGTCCTCTGTGGGGATGTGCAAGGATGGGGAGAAATGCAATGCAATCCTAGCGTCTCCCTCGGCATGAAAATGTGTTTATCTTCCCTCAGCCCATCGAAGCTGCTGTCCTGCACAAACAGGAGTGTGGGCTGGTGTGAGAAGTTCGCGTGGGGTGCTGGGAGCCAGCCCGAGCTCACAGCACTCTTTGCGGTTGCTTCTGGGGCCCACAAGTGTCCTCTGCAGTGTTGGGGACTTCATTATAACTCTCATGTCAGATGGTGGCCAAGCAGGAACCAGCTGACACTAACAGGCTTTCAAATGCTTCCTTTGAAAAATGTTCTAGATTCCCCCAGGACTTCATAAAGTGGAGAAAAATGTGGCCTCTTTCCAAGAAGAAGCTGTCGCAGCTGAAAACTGGTCAACTATTGACGTACTTGAATTGCTCCTGTGTCAGAGGCTGAAAATCGATGTTTACTAATTGCTGTGGCTGTTACTAAGTATCAGAGGCCCGCTCTGTTCTGCATCACGCAGCAGCGGCTGCCGAGCGGGGACAGTGTCAGGCAAGCCTGTCACCTAGGACTGGGCGAGCTGTTCAGAGAGAACAGGCTTTGGCTGCCTCCTTCGGGGGAGATCGTGGTAGCATAGAGATCGGGAATCCTCCAGGAGAGGGCAGGGAAAAGGCAGGGGAAGGACGTCCCTCAGTGTTGCTGTTTTAGTCATAACGCTTGCAGTGGTCTTTGTAGTCACCTAACATACATGTCTGTTTCTCCTGCTTCTCCAGATCCACATAGACATCCCTCGCATGAGCCCTGAAGTGTTGCTCCTGCAGCCCAAGGTGACGGAGGTAAGAAGCTCTTGGCGGGAGTTCGCCTGTTGGGAGTGGCTCCCAGGGGAACTGCTGCTGCACCTGGCCCTTGTGGACACAGTTGCTGACGGGAATCTCATTTGTTCTTTGAATATTTTTACTGTATAATATTGTCAGACGCCAAAGACTGTATGTAATTCGTATGTGTGGATGTATGCACTCATGATCCACTGCCAGATTCAGGAGCCAGAACGCCACCATTGCTGCCCACCTGCCCACATGGCCACGAACTCAGGCCTGACCCAGAGCACCGAGGCTGCTGTGTACCCCCTCTCGCCTTGAAACCCCTACCTGGATGACACTGTCTTGCCTTTTAGGTTCACGATTCTTTGTGACTTTCGTTCATGTCATGTGACAGTAGGAACACAATGTATGAATTTGATTTGGGTCTTCTGGAGCTGCATCACTCTTTCCATAGTCTGGTCTCTGCCTCTTGTTCATTCATTCATTAATTCATTCATTCATTCAGACACTGAGTGTTGTTCTGTCGCCCAGGCTGGAGTGTAGTGGCACGATCTCAGCTTACTGCAACCTCCGCCTCCTGGGTTCAGGCGACCCTTTTGCCTGAGCCTCCCAAGTAGCTGGGATTACAGGTGCCCACCACCATGCCCAGCTAATTTTTGTATTTTCTGTAGAGACGGGGTTTTGCCATGTTGGCCAGGCTTTAGTAAGTTAATTTTTAAAGAAGCTATGATTTATAAGAGGAAAGCTTTGAAGAAGAACTTCTTATTTTCTACATATGTGATGTCACTTCTGTTTTCTCTCACTGCCACATTCACAGATCTGTGTTGTGTGGTGTTTTGCCCCAGTATTTGGGTGTTCTTCCCTTCATATTGCACCCTGCAAGTAATTTAGCCTCATGATGTCCTGCTGCCTGGTGTGGGCACGCACCACCTGCTGGTTTTCTCTTCGCCAGGAACTGGGCAGTCCCACCCCTTGCTCTTCCACATACGTCTTAAGAGTCAGTTTGCCAAGGTCTTTCACTTGTTTTTTTGTATTTTTAGATTTGTTTGGTCTGTGATTGGAATTGCATGGAGTCTTTCTATTGCATGGAAAGTCAGGGGTCAGAAAAGACAATTTTTAGTTTGGGAGAATGGATAGCTTTATGAAACTAAATATACATTTTCGTGAACATGCTAGTTCCTCTTTTAAAAGTCATTTTTAATGCTTTTCAGCGAAGTTTTCAAATTTTCTCCCTGAAGGGTTTTATACGTGTGTTACCGGTGGAGGGTGTCCAGGTTCTTGGCATCCTGAACAAAGAATTGGACAAAATGCACAAACAAGGCAAGGGAAGAATGAAGCAATAAAAGCAGAGATTTATGGAAAAGGAACGCACTTTCTGCAGGGTGGGGACAGGCCTGGGCAGGCAGCTCAAGGGCCTGGTTACACAATTCTCTGGGGTTTAAATAACTTCTAGAGGTTTCCCGTTGGTTACTTGGTGTACACCCTATGTAAATGAAGTAGTGGCCCTTGATCAGTCTGATTGGTTGCAGAAAGCGACCAATGAGAGGCTGAAGTGAAGTTATAAAACACCCTATGCAACTGTCTGATTGGTTGCAGAAAGCAACCAATGAGAGGCTGAAGTGAAGTTATAAAACACCCTATGCAACTGTCTGATTGGTTGCAGAAAGCAACCAATGAGAGGCTGAAGAGAAGTTATAAAACACCCTATGCAACTGTCTGATTGGTTGCAGAAAGTGACCAATGAGAGGCTGAAGAGAAGTTATAAAACACCCTATGCAACTGTCTGATTGGTTGCAGAAAGTGACCAAGCAGGGGCTGAAGTGAAGTCACAAATTTACAGTTATGCAAAGGGAGACTTGGCCTGGGACCAGCCTGATTGGTTGTTGAAGGGGATCAGTCAGAGATACTTTCAGTGTTTGATCTGCCATGCAGAGAAGGGGTGGATTGCCTCTGGTTCGTTTGTTACCTGGGCTTGAAAGTGGGGTTTTCCTTTTGATCTAGTTCTAAGAGGTTAGTGTGAATTGGCTTTTGGTTCCTGCCTCCAGACCCTATTCTCCTGCCTCACATGTTTTATTAGATTTATTCTTAGTTATCATATTTTTTCTTGTTATAGTAAATGTTTTCTCTTTAAAGCTGAATTTTTTTTTATTGTTAGAAATATTTTGTTTTGCATCTTGATTGCTTCAGTAAATGCGCTTTTAAACTTTGACATTTCTTATTTGTGAAGTAAATCTGTAAAAAAAACTCCAGGATTGTTAAAGCAGTGTACTTAGAGATTGCAGAATACAAAAAGAGGAAATTAGTTTCCAGCAGAAGTCGTCATTTGGAGACACTTCTCTTCGATTGTCCTTTTCAGCAGTAATGCTTATCATATCTGGAAAATGAGATTATTGTTTATAACCTCCTTTTTACTTATGATTTTTTAAATGGGAAATAGAGTCTGCCACAGGCCCTTTGGTTTATTCTTACTTACTTTTCCTGCCACTTGACACATTCTTTGTGCAGCTGACCTCTCAGGCCCTTTCGTCTCAGAGTGTGGGCCCTGAGTCGCTTGCTAGTGGTGGCAATTGGCACTTGGTCCTCTTGTCTGTGACCTCCTGGGCCTTGAGCTCTTGGTTTGGAAAGCCTCCCCTGTCAGTTAAGAAAAATGATGACACAACTCTTAATCATTTTAGGAGATTTATTTGTCAAAAGTAAGGACACAACGCCTGGGAGGCAGGTCTATGCCTTTCTCCCAGGATAGTTTTGAGGGCTGTGAATTTAAAGGGGAAAGGGCCAGACATTGAGAAGTGCACAGTTTTTCATGGAAGAGGGAGATAGAGAGAAATAGTCGTTCATGCCTTTGTCTGGCTCAGTCTGTATTTTTTTTTTTTAAACCTAAGATGACATAGACAAATGGAGCAGAGGAAAAATGCAGACAGTCTGCACTTTACATATGAAAACCTAGACAAAATGGGGAACAATCAGATACACACTCGTGTCTGGTGGGCTGGGGGTGACGGTCCTTGTAAGGATAAGCTATCCATTTGCATTGCCGTGGTGAAATCTTAACAGAAACACCCTAAAAGATCTTGCAGCTCACTAGGAATTTCCTTGTGGGCAAAATATGGGGGAGGCATGGAGCTTCATCTTGTAGCCACTTATCTTTGGAACCAAAAGGGGTAGGCAGGTTTGCATGCCCAGTTCCCAGCTTGACCTTTCGCTTTGGCTTACTGAGCCTGGGGTTTCACGATTCAGTTTCCTTCCACACCCCATGCAGTCGGTCTTGCCCAGCTCCCAAATGCTCTTCCAGGGGTGCTGACGCTCTCCGGGACCCATCTCAGCAAGGCCTGCAGAGTGGGTCAACCTGGAAGGTAGATGGGCTGGCTTCTGGGAGAGACAGGCTCCTGCAGGCTGGCAGAGTGCAAAGAGCAGGTCACCTGAGCATGGCCTCTGTGTGTGTGTGTGTGTGTGTGTAAATTAGATGATAGGCAGAGGACTTTAGGAAAGTTTTGAAATGTGTGTCTCAGCCAGGCGCAGTGGCTCATGCCTGTAATCCCAGCGCTTTGGGAGGCCAGGGGGAGCAGATCAGCTGAGGTCAGGAGTTCCAGACCAGCCTGGCCAACATGGTGAAACTCCATCTCCATGAAAAATACAAAAATTAGCTGGGTATGGTGGCGTGTACCTGTAGTCCCAGCTACTTAGGAGGCGGAGGCAGGAAAATTGCTTGAACCCGGGAGGCAGAGGCTGCAGTGAGCTGAGATCTCGCCACTGTACTCCAGCCTGGGTGACAGAGCAAGACTTTGTCTCAGCAGGGAAAAGAAAAGTCTGTCTTGTGTTGGGCAGTAGTAAAAATTGAGTTATGGTTTCTGGCATTGTAGAGGTGTTGAGGTTAGATGTGAATACTTCTACAAGTGATGGCAAATGTGTAATAATCACGGCTTCACAGGCGAGAACTCTGTTACTGTGTCCAGGTCTAGGTCGTTCTCAGCACATTGGTTGCTCCTGTATGCTTGGCTTTGACCTCATGGTCCAGGGTGGCTGCCCTAGCGCTTGCCATCACATTTGCATTCCACTAGCAGGGATAATAAGCCGTGGGAAGAGAAGCCATACCCCAGCAACTGCTCGTAGCACTTCCGCTGTTTCCTACTGGCTGTAACTCAGCATGTCATCCGAAGTGACATGGTTGTACTTAGCTGTATGGATCAGGGAAAATGTCAGTTTGGTTGTTTTCGTTATGTGCTCCCCTAAAGTTTGGGCTTCTAATACTCAGGAAGAAGGATTTCTGCCGTAAGCATCCCCCCAACTCCCTGCACTATCAAGACATCCATTCATCCACTCCACGGTGACGGCCGGGTCCCTGTGGTCAGTTTCTACCTTCCTTCTCTTCCTCCTCCTCTCCCTCCTGTCAGCTTTATTGAGGTTCCATAAAATTCACCTATTTTAGGTATGTAATTAGATGTTTTGACAGCTGCGTTTATAGGTGTGTACCAGCTCCCTAAATTTGCGACGTAAACATTTCCGTCAGTCTGTGGGGTTCCCCATGTCCCTTTGCTGTCCGTCTCCTCTCCCCACCCTTGCCCTTGACAACTGCTAATCTGCTTTCTTTCTCTAGAGTTCTGTCCTTGTGTAGAATTTCCTATCAATGGAATCTCACAAGCTATAGGCGATGTCGTCTGTGTCTTTTACTTAGCACCGTGCTTTGGAGGCTCATGCGTGTTGTTGGAAGTATCAGCAGCTCACTGCTTTTTGCTTGCTGAGTAGTATTCCGGAAGCGCGTACTATAATGTGTCTGTCTATTCACCAGTTGACGGACACTGGGGTTCTTTCTAATTTTTGCTCATTACAAAATAATTTTTTTTTTTTTTTTCTTTTTGAGATGGAGTCTCACTCTATCACTCAGACTGGAGTGCAATGGCATGATCTTGGCTCACTGCAACCTCCGCCTTCTGGATTCAAGCAATTCTCCTGCCTCAGCCTCCCGAGTAGCTGGGATTAGAAGTGCCTGCCACCATGCCCGGCTAATTTTTGTATTT